ATAAAAACAGAAGAAATGATGCACAATACTGCAATATAACATGTTTATTAGTAGGCCTACTTCAGAATATTTCTCAAATGTTAGGTTTAGGAATCAGCATGGAATGCAACTTAGTATGAGAACTTAGAAGTTCCAGTCTTACATTACTTACAAGATAAATTAAATTTGATATAAGAATATTAGAAATCTACAGGAGTTTAACTATCTCAAATTAAATAAATAATTTGAACTTCAGGAATACAAAGATAAACTCACAATCATAATCCATTGTTTTCCTGGAAAAAATTAAATATTTACTTTGCATTAGTTACTAAAAAAGTTTTTACTCATGGAAGAATAATCTTACATGATGAGCAGTAAAATTTTTTTAAAAATTATTAATAATTATATATTTTTAAAAATAGGGCTACATTATAAGTAATTGATTACATTTTTAAAATCTATTATATATTATAAATCATACTAAAATAACTCACAAGGTTATAGCCATCTGTATATTGTATTTGTCTTCTGCTATGATTTGATTTAATTCATTTACAGTGTACAGTTGAGGGTGCTTGAATGGTATCCCTGTAGGCAGCCCAGTGACAGTTATGTTACTACTAAAGTATGGTACTTGAGTATTGTGTTTCATGCAACTTTTTGAAACACACATATTTATAAATGTAAGTTTGTGCACACATAAACAAATCTAATAATTTTAACCATTACCATTTGTTTTTAGGTTGCAAAAGATTTAGACCAGCCAAATAGTTTTTCAATAAAATAAATTTAAATTATATTATTCTTGAACACAATCTAGTGTAGCATATTTTTAAAATTAGAAATGCAAAGGCAATAAAAGGAACATTGTCTTAAATTGACCTACCCCATCTTTCCTGAAAAATCTCCATCACTAATTGGCGCAGTCTGACAGATTTAGTGCAGCTTTGTAATGGATCTGTAAAATAAAAGATTTTAATAATTACAAATATAGGTAGAAACTACATAAAAAGTATAACACTATGATTGCTAATCTATACAATCATTTAAATATTAAATTCACAAATAAATATTTATAATGCAGATTTAAAATAGGTTTTCATAAGAGGTATTCAAGGTCTTAGCCTAAAGTTTAGCAGATATGAACTTTTTCTACATTTAACAAAATATAAAAAAGAATACCAGTATATATAAATATTTCTTTTTTTGGCGAAGTTTTTTTTTTTTAAATCTCAAAACTTCTTAAATTATTTTAAATTTCTAAAATATATAAGGCCTAATTAAACTCATTGATTATTTCTGCCTGCGCAAAGAAAAAAATCTCACCTTTGCATACAAAATCTACTATGTCTTTTTTTAAATGTTTTGCATTCATGGTGTGGAACACTTCAACTTTGTTAATTGGGTCAAAGTAAGAACTAACACCAATAAATTTTACATTAGCCTTTTCCATATCTTTAACCTGCAAAAAAAAGTGAACGAATTATTAAGATATTTACATGTATTAGTATTATTAATCTGTTGTATAGTTGACAAGTGATCTTAACATCTTACCAATAATTTTAATCTTTTCTTCAACCCCTTTACAATATCACTATCGTCGAGCCCATAAAAAGGTTGTTTGTTTTTCTCCTGTGCCTTCCTGTCCATTCCAACTTTTGTCACATGATCAAGCAATTTCCATTCTTGGGAAATTCTTCTTAAAAATGACCTGTTATCTTCATCAGCACCTGAATGATGAAAATATGAACAAAAAGTATCTTTATTAAAAGTCTATAGTTTATCTTAATATGTTGGAGCATAATTATAATTCTAAAAGATGGTTAGCAAACCTTGCTTTTGCATGGCTCTAAATTCATCCCAACCACTTCTTCTTTTTCTGGGGAGCTTGCTAACAGAGTTATCCTTTTGCCTCTTCATGTTGTATATGTACTTCTGCAGATATAAATGTATCAATAAATTAACAGTCAAAATGAGCTATTATCAACTTTAATCTATTAGTATACATTTTATTTTAATATTTCAGCATTTAAAACATTAATACATTACTTCAATTCTAAATGGCTCAATTTTGAATTCCCTTGCCAGCTTTCCTATCCATTCCTTATCTCTAGTTGTCATTCCATTTTCAATCGCAGAATTGAGCTGTTTTTTTTCATCAACAGTCAAATATTTCCTCTAAAAAATGTTAATCAAAAACGTTTTTAAATATAAAGAACAATTAGTAATTGTCATAGTCTAATAACATATCTATTTTTATTATATATGTTATTAATTGTTTTTAAAATGTAAATAGGCACTGTGATATAATTATAAATACCCTATTGCTATTGATTATCAATAATTAATCTTCTAATGTAATAAGTAATAGTCAGAGACAGCGTGGTTAGAGCTAATGACTGCTCGAGTTCGTTCCCATGTTGGAGTCTGTAGGACGTCCCTGAGTCCACGCAGCTCTGATGGGTACCTGACTCACATTACTCATTACGGACAAAGGGCAGGTATGAAAAGCGGTTAAGAACTGCTGAGGATATAAAATATAAAATATTAATTATAAATTAACAATCATTATACAAAATATATAGAACTAGATATTCTAGATCTAGCTAGATTAATTTACTTCTAGATTAAAAATTACAATGAGAATGTAGATCTATGTAAATGTTTCTATATAATTAGTATTAATTAATAATAATTTAATTAATTAATGATAATCATGATAATGATAATTTTTATTTTTAATTTAATTAGCTGTCGAGTACGGATTTAATAGATCTAAACTTCGTCTTACACTCATTGAACTCATTTTATTTAATAGCAAACTGTACAAGGTAAGATAAAGATGCAGATGTAATCTAGATCTAGATCTATTTTAGATCTAGATTCCTGATCTCCCAGCTTGGTTTCACCTAACAAGCTTAACTTACAATATTGTGCGAAAATAAGCAATATGGCCAGGAATTTTTGCGATCAGCCATACTTGCCAAAATTGTGTGGTAAAGTACAGTGAAGATAAATTTATTAAATTAATTAAAAAAAAATATTCTCCGTATTGGGCCATTTATATATATATATATATATATATATATATATATATATATATATATATATATATATATATATATGTATATGTATATATATATGCATATATATAATTTCAAATAACCTACCCCCAGCGCCTTTTGAGTATGGCAAGATGTAATTTGGACTATCATAAGGAAATACAACATCAAACAAAATCTTAAAATAATTAATATAATACAAAACGGGACGTAGTTGCCCTGGGACGGGGTACCTAACCTTACAGGGAAAGTGAAGGCGGCTGGGCATAGTGCTGACCACACTATTCATATGCCGATGACACAGAAACTGGTGAACTCTCTACTTCACTTGCCGTCAGCTTTGGAAGGAGAACTTTACTTACACATATGGCTAAACGTCAAGCGCATCGTACCTCAACAATATGAATGGGTCCGTATATGAGAATACGTTCTTCTTAGCCCCGTCACTTATGCAGAAAGTGTACGGGCCAAAAGTTAAAAACAACTTCTTATCTGCCGATAGGGCTAGGGTTAGGGTTAGGGTTAGGGTTAGGGTTTGGGCTAGGGTTAGGTTAGGGTTAAGGTTAGGGAATAATGGAAGGTGATTTAGAAAGCTATAGTGTTAAGGCTAGGGTTAATGTTAGGGCTAGGGAATAATGGAAGATGATTTAGAAAGCTATAGGGTTAAGGCTAGGGTTAAGGTTAGGGTTAGGGAATAATGGAAGATGATTAAGAAAGCTTTACGGCTAGGGTTAGGAAATAATGGAAGATGATTTAGAAAGCTATAGGGTTAGGGCTAGGGTTAAGGTTAGGGAATAATGGAAGACGATTTAGAAAGTTATCGGTAGCAAGTATGCCTAAGGGCCTAGAACTACCTGTTTGTTAAAATGGACTGAAATTGATCTCATGTATTTTTGTTGAAATATTCTGTATGTTTAATAAAAGTGACGTTTAATTTTTTTTATCCCGGGATCTATACCGAGATTACTTTCCTATCTGCCCTATCATGCAGACGAAGACCAAACGCTTGGATCGATGAGAATAATTGAGAACGACATTGTGAGAGAATTGCAAATGGTACACTGTGGAGCTGATAATATCGTTGATTCATAAAGTAAGTTATGGACGTTTCCTACGCACTGGGGGTGGAGAGAAAATTTCTGCTCAAAAGAAGTGTGTGGCACTTTGATAGACAGCCGCCAGAACTCTCCGTGAGTTTTTCTCCACGTGCATATGCTGTTGTTGTTTTTTTTTTGTTTTTTTGTAGCTGAGTATATATTAATTTAGTTACCGTTTTGCATACGTTAAAATTTTTTGCTACATCATGACAAGACATATATTGCAAGGTTTCATCAAGTAGTTCTACTAGATCTAGTTCCGTGTGTCTTTACTCCAGCAAATGCATATAGACCACATGTGCAATAGTAATTTTATATTACTTTAAGTTTTAAGTAGAAATTGTAGAGCCTCGAAGTGCGTTTCCTTAAATGTCGGGGCTGATATTTCTGCCCTCATCACTTTATAATCCCAACCAGTCTTAATTCCTAAACATTAAGTGAATGAAACACTACCAAGCTAGCTAATGCCCCGTTCAGAATAACTTCCACTTTAACAAACTGAGATTTATTTTGTTTTTATTGGTGTCTGTTGGTTTCATAGACGTCTGCTTAGATTGTGAGATATAAAGCGGATAGGGGTCATCCATAAATGACGTCACACTTTTTTTGACGATTTTTACCTCCCCCCCCTTCCCTCCGTCACACGTCGTCACAAAATTATGGACCCCCTACAAGTGTGACGTCATTTATGGATGACCCCATAACAGTTTTTCAAAAAGTTAAATGTGTAACATGTTCTCTGAGTGACACTGGCAGATTAGGACTAAGGAAAAATTGTAATATAACTATTGTAACACCAACATTTGTTTTGTAAACTTAATTTAATTTGATACTTTTAGTGAAGTCAATAGATCAGCAACATAAAATTCAAATGGAAATTTTAATTATAATAGCAGCAGTGGAAGTAGGTCTTCATTAAAATAAAAACAGTTTGTTGGGCATAAAATTTTTTGTTATTAAATTTGTATCACATATGACACTCATTTGTACATAATCTGTTAGACTAAAAAATTGCATCAAGACTGGTAAGAGCTTATCATTATGCATGTTTCAAACTTAACAAACATAATGTGTTTAAAAAAATTCTATACCAATCAAGACAATGTATTGATTGGTGTAAAAACTAACAAAAACTATTTAATTAAAATAATGGTAGGCTGTTAAAGCAACCTATTGTCTTATTGGGCTAGAACACATACATGCCTTAAAAGTATTTATAACGTAGGGTAAGAAAACCAACCATATATAATACAGATCTAACCTATAAAATAGGTTAAAATTTTTAAAAGGCTAATATGACTAAGCTAATACAGCAGCAAAAAGTTATAGTAAAACAACATTGTAAATTAAACTTCAGTATCTTCATCATCCTCATCTTCAATCATTGAACTATTGGCATCTACCTCACCTGAGTCTATACTTAAAATATCTTCACTATTTTCAAAATTAACAAAATCATGTTCATTAACAACAGCAAATTTGGAAAATTTAAGATCAGATAGAAAGGGTGTAAATAAATCAAGAAGAAAATTAAAGTACAATTTTAATCTAAACATGTCAAGAAAAAGTCTTGGTCGAAATTTTGTAATGATTATTCTACAAGCTTTATTTATGTGATTAATTTGAAGTTCATAAAAATTTAAAACAGAAATCATTTCTTTTTTAATCAATTCATCTTCTTCATGACATCTTAAAATAATATTATTTAAATCAATTGTTTGCCTTTTTAAAAGCTCTATCCCATAATTTTGAACCCATGAAGAATCAGATAAATTTATAACTTGATTAAAAGTAACTGGAATTAGTTCTGATTTGTTGTGATCATCTATAGCTTTTTGCAGTTTCTTAGCGTTTGTGGAAAGTTGTCTGCTAATTCTCTTAGCAATTGATTGGCCTCCTAGGAGAAAAAATTAATTGAATGATTAAACAATTATTATTCTAAAATGCTTTATGTATATTTTTGTTTAACAATTTAAAGGCATATTTGATATAATAACTGACTTGCATATTTCCTGATCTGCTCCTTCAAAAAATGACGCTCAATAGCAAAGTTCTGTATTAGCAAAAATGAATCCTTCTTTGCAGATTTTTTCACTGGTAATAAAAAAATTATGTTTCATATTAATTTTTCATAATCAGATATATTTTACTAACTTATGCTAGTACTATATTCATCATGATAATTACTTACTGCTTATATCCTTTTGAACAGATTCAACTTCTTCTTTAGTCCATTTTGATATAATTTCTTTGTTTATGTCTGTAACATTTTAAAAGTTTATCATTCATTTTCCAAACACTTTTTGATTGCAAATTACTTAGAACATTTTGAAAGTAAGTATAGGTTACCTGGGTGAAGCTGTTGTAACTCTGCCAAAGATTTGATGGCAGTTTCTTTGACTACAGTTGCTCTTCCGAACCGTGCAACTAAAGAGTGGCCTAAGATGAAAGAATGACTTTTTGTATTGTGTACAATATATTCTCAACAAAATATGTATGAATTAATAGCTTGTTAAAAAGTTAAAAAAACAACAACAAGGCTATATAGGCCTATTTTTAATTATTAACCACAAAAAGTCATAACTATTCTAAAATAAGATACTTAATAGCAAGAGAATTCATTATCAATTTAAAAAAAATATACCTATATTCTTCTTTTTTCTCTCACTAAAATGTAGAAGTCCATCTGACAGCATATCTTGTCTAGTTTCAGGCTTCATTTCTTTACAAATTTTTGAAAACTTGCCTAAATAAGACCATATAATATGTATATATATATATATATATATATATATATATATATATATATATATATATATATATATATATATATATATATATATATATTTATATATGGTTTAATACAATTTGAACTATGTTTAATTTATTTTTATTTTAATTAAATGTGTCAATTTTAATTTTACCTGCAAATGTTTATTTAGCTTACAAGCGATGTCATATGATGTGATGAGCTTGCTTCCTTGAAAATTATCTACAAGTTTTTCTAGAAAGTACACTGGATAAGCAAGTCTGCAAAATAAAATTAAGTGAACTAAATTGATATTACTTAAAAAAATACATTTATTTAATGTATCAATACTCATTCTTTGTTTACTGGGGTAAGAATTAGCTGTGCACAATCTGATAAATTATGAACTTACCTTTAATGTTAAATTTTAAATATGTATTTTTTGCAAATAATTACACTAAAATCCGTTTCACATTTTTTAAAAGAAGAACTTTATTGAAAGTTTGATGAACTAATTTTGCCCAATGAAAAAATAATTTAGCAAATACTTGAAACGATGAAATTAGGTACACTATATAAAATAAAATTTAGTCACACTAACTTTCTCCATGTTTTAAACTGGCAAATTTATTGGGAATTTCATGTCGACAGACTGACCCAAATATACCTTTGTCCGAAAGTTTTACGTCTTTGGATTTTGATCGTAGATTGTTTCCGGCTTGGAAATCCGAACACTGATCCTAAAGAAAAAACTGCAACTGTACTTCAGATAAATGTAAATTATTTAAGGCTTTAGCAATAATAACTATCTATCTAGTTCAACTTACATTTGCAACACTTTGTTCCTTATAAGTTGAAACAAATGTTTCAACAGCATCTTGTTGATGGAAAAAAACCTGTCTTGTTGGCGTTTCCCATTGTCTCCCTGCTGATGCTTTCCGCACAAGTTGAAAATCTGCATCCAGGCAGATGATTTTGGTTGGAGCCTTTAAAGACATGTAGTTGGTGGGAATTTAGTATTATATTTTTTCTTAAAAAAAAAATAAAAAATTACATACATTAAAGCAAGCAGGACACTGAGTGCCATCATCAAGACCATCAACAAATTCAACAGGGTGTTCCACCCCATACATAAAATGTTTAAATTCTTCAAATGCTTCTAAAAAGCATGATGAGTATATATTTTTCTGAAAAAAAATTGTGTATATATATATATATATCCCCTGTACAGAAATTAAACAATGAGCCTATTTGTAAAAAATATATACATTAATTAAATTTATTTTGTTAATAACTGCAATAAACTATTTTCAATTAAGTCTTAAGCAAAAAATATAATAAAATAATTGACAGTGATATTTCTTTCATTCAGCCGGTCTACCAGGAAAAACCCATGTGCCCCACAGAGACAAATCTTGATAGGCCCCCATGAAATGTGCTGTATTAGTTCTTTTAATGTTTTGATTTTTAAAAAATGATTTGTAGGTATTTCTCCATGCTTTGATAGAGAAAAAATGTTCGGTGAAAACTTCTATCCAAGGTTTGGCGGCCCTTTTAAATATTTCCCAAGCCTCTTGGACACAGTCCACCAATGTTAGTGCTGTTAACTATAACTTTCCCTGGCTAACTAATAATTTTGCTAGACTAATGTTCAAAACTAATAAATATTAAATTCATTATGCTTATTATTACTCATTTTTATAAATTATATTAATTGTTTATTAAACCTAGAACTATAAAGCTACCTATAGACCTGCAAAAAAAAAATAATTATCATATAGGTCTATATAGGCCGAGATAGTGAATTTGTTAAATTATTACGTTTAAATATTAGTAATTACTAACAGAATTTCTTCCAGGTATTCTCTACGCCCCCCCCCCCCCCCACTCCAGCCAGAGAAAAATTCTGGAAGAAACACTGATAACTAATTAAGCCTGTAAGAATGGTAAGGTTTTAAATTATAATCCTTATTAATTTAATCTTAATCTTTCTTAAATTATTGTTTTAAATTCAAATTTCTTGATTTATCATTCCTTTAATTAATGGCCGCATCTATTTGGACCCGGGTCTGATTACCCATGGCCGCTATTAGGACTAGAGTCCTTATAGACTTGGCCACAATTCAGACCAGATATTAAATTTGTTGACATTTAATTACACAATAATACTTTTTAAGATGTAGAATATATATTTTCTGTTGTTATGACTTCTTTCTTGTAATTCCATAAATATCTAGAGATCTTGCTTTAAATATCCTATATCATTTCTGACAAATGTCATGGCAAAGATTAATCGTTAGGTCTATTATATATGGCCTATGGTATGAACTTCTCAGACCCAATGAATGTTGGGCGTGCATGTAAAATGATCCATTATTTTTTCTCATCTTATTTAACCGTAATTTAATTTTATAGTAAATTATACTAGGCCTATCAGTCCAAAATTTTAAAAAATTAAAAAATTATAGAATAGCTGAATTAAGGCTACAACATCTGGGGGACAAATAAAAGTGGTGTCATTAGCAATCTTAAATAGCAATGTTCTTGCTATGTTGCCTATGTTGTATGCTATAGGCTTACACTACTGATATCTAAACCAAAGTGAACTCACTGACCTTTTTTTTCTTCTACTGACAAGATAACGTTGGCGGGCAATCATAGGAGCAACAACGTTTAGAAATGACATATTTAAATATCTAAATCTAGGAAAGATATAGAATATATAAAACAATTTTAAAAAAAGCATTCTATACTTGCGACAGAACTATCTTAGTTTAATACTATTTTTCTCGCACAAAACTAAGTGATTTTCAAGGAACAAGTGAAGAGGAATTCCTGTTCAGTTTGGTTCCAGCCCAGTAACTCCCAATATTTTTAATAGCACGACATTCTCCATCCGATCATAATGTCTTTTGTTAAATAATCAATATTTAATGATTTTGTATATAGGGCTAAATATAGAGTATTTACATATAGAAGGACCTAACAGTTAGCAAATCCACAAAAACTATTTAACACACACACTGTAATATATTGGGAATTGTGAAGTCAAGGGAACTCACTCTTCTCGTATTAGTATTATATTTATAATGTTGTTTTGGGTGATGTCCTTTGTTTGTATCTCGTGACTTCCTCTTCCTGTTTCCATAATGGTGGCTGATTAAAAGATCTCTATACAATCCAATGGCTTCTGCGTCAGTGTATTATAATAGAACGGCCCAATCCACCACAACTGGCGACGAGGATAAATCAATCCACTAGAAAGAGCACATGCTTACTTAAAAAGAAGCTTGCTAGAGCATATTGGCTAAGTATTTCTAGGATAATGGCGCTGTATGGCCAAATAAAAGAATTTGATTCGAATGATGAAACCATTCATGATTATCTAGATAGGTTAAGCTTTTACCTTGAAGCTAACGACGTGACGATAGAAGCCAAAAAGAGAGCTGTTTTGTTAACAGTCATAGGGCCTCAACAATTTAGGCTACTAAAGGACTTATGCGCACCAGCTAATCTAACTACCAAGAGCTTTAACGAGCTGAGCAAATTGCTAACATACCACCATGCGCCCGCACCATCAAAGTTCCTGTGTAGAGCCAGATTTGACGGTAGGACTCGTCAACCAAACGAGTCAATATCAGAATATGTTGCTGCTTTACGTCATTTAAGTGAATTTTGTGAATTCGGAGACACGCTGTCTGACAGACTATGTGAAAAGTTTGTGACAGGTGTAAACAGCCCTGATGTTCAAAGAAAGTTGATTCTCGAGTCAGATCTCACATTGGAAAAAGCAATACAACTAGCAACTTCATTCCAGCAGTCATCCGAGGCGGTAAAATCTCTAACGCCCTCAGGGATCCATGCAGTAGACAGCAGGTTAGTCAACAAACACCAACCCTATCAGAGCATTTCAACTTATGCTAAACAGCCTGCACGTTCAAATCCTAGATCTAAATCTAGTAATAATTATAAAAAATGTCATCGATGCAACGGTCCCCATGCATCTCATCGATGCAAGTTCAAGTAAGCAACTTGTTATAAGTGCAGTAAGCAAGGTCACATTGCCAAGGCCTGCTTTGCAAAGTCTTCGTCTGTTGCTAAATCTAGCCAGTCAAGACAGTACCGCAACCAAAGGCAGCACTATGTTAACTCTCACCAAGACTACCTAACCCAGTCAATGAACCACTCTACCAGTGAAAATGCTCAAACTGATTTGCAGCCGGAGTTCAACCTGTTCTCTGTGAAATCAACAAATCATGCTCCCATCAATGTACTAGTTTATATCAACGGTAAGAGCATCATCTTCCAACTTGACACTGGAGCATCTCTGTCATCACAAAGAAGGACTTTGACGCTGTCACAGGAGGATCAGTGCCTCTACAACCATGTCACACGTGCCTAACACATACACAGGTGACAATGTTCCGGTGATAGGAGAGTGTATGGTTCATGTAAGCTATAATGGTCAAAGTGTTAAACTTCCTCTTCTTGTGGTTGAAGGATATGGACCACCATTACTAGGTAGGAACTGGTTAGTTGATCTTAAGTTAGACTGGGGGAGTATATTTTCAGTGAACAAAGCAAGAGAATCTAGTTTTACTTCAATAGATAAAGTTATATCTGAAAATGAAGGTGTCTTTGGTAATTCAGGATTACTAAATGATAGGACAGTGAAGATAAGCATTAAAGACACAAATCCAAGATACTGCAAAGCTAGAGTTCCACCTTATGCAATGAGGGATAAAATTGAAAATGAGCTAAGTAGATTGGAATCCAATGGCATCATAAAGAAGGTAGATTATTCTGATTGGGCAACGCCCATTGTGCCAGTGTTAAAGAGGGAAGGTTCTGTAAGAATTTGTGGAGACTATAAAGCTACACTGAATAAGCAAATAGAGCTAAATAGGTACCCTATTCCTAACATTGAGGAAATTTCTTTGAATTTGGCAGGAGGAGACAAATTCTCTGAATTAGACTTTAGTCATGCTTACACTCAACTAGAACTGCATCCAGATTCAAAAGTCTATACGACAATATGAAAGACTATGTTTTGGTATATCATCCAGCCCTGGAATTTTCCAGGAAATTTACTGTCATGGACAGTATTTTTAAGGATATTCCAAATGTTTGTGTTTACTTTGACAATGTGTACATAACTGGTAAGAATGACACTGAACATCTTAAAACACTTGATAAAGTCTTGAAAATAGTTGGTGAAAAGGGTTTAAAGATAAACAAAGATAAATGTCAATTCATGCTGACAGATATTAGTTTTCTTGGTTA